GATATGATACTATCAATTCGTGTTCTTACTGCTCAATGTCTCCAATCCAAAGATTTGCTGGCTAGAGACCATTAATCATGGAGAATGCCTCTGCTACTTGTTCCTCCTTGAATATGAATATGGCCATATTGCATAGATCTGGGAATTTTTCACTCAATGCTCCTCTTACAGCATTGGCCCACCCCCTCCCCCAGAACACATGTATCAAAAGAAAAAACAGATTTACTACGCTTCCTATAATGAAGCATAATTGATTAGCAAAGTCTGTTCATCCCTCATGTAGCTCTACATGGTCTGTCTGCATATTGATCTTAAAAGAGCATTTCCTGAAATAAACTATCTTTATGTTGTATTGGTAATTTGTCTCGTGGTTATGTGTTGACTGGCTTTTGAATTTGGAGGTTATGGTTCCACTAAGTTCTATATAAAACATATGCATGAATAAAGTCTTGTAGTTAATAATTCTGTGACGGCTTTCTCGTCCATGAAATATAAGCTGTATTCTTTTGTTGAAATCTGTAGGAAATGGCTTTAAGCTGTTCCAATCTTCTAGACATGACAGTGAGAATGAGGACATGCTAAATTCTGAAAATACAGGAGCTGCAGCCAAGAAAAATTGGTTTCTCTCTTGTTTTGGGTCAGGTGAGAAAGGAACAATAACTGACCAAAGTATTTTACAATTCTCTGAAAATCAACACAATTTCACAACAGCTATTTTCATGAGGATTCTTCATCTGTACAGTGAATATGACTTTTAATTGCGAGACTATTTCAGGCTTCTGCTTGGTTATCTCGTAGTTTGGATAGAGGATAAGCTACATTGAGTTAGTATTGAGCAGTTTTGATGACTTATTCTTTTCTTTGTTTTGCTGGGAGTTGAATAATGTAATCTATATTTCAGAATCAAGATTTTGAAAGGCAAAAGGTCTTCCACCGATCCTAATTAACAGAATCCATATTTTAGGAAGAAAACTGTTTTGTCTTCTACATTGTGTTGGGTTTTCTTGTTAATTCAAATATTTGGAGAAGTTTATTTATTTAAATTCTCAATGAACTTTCATGTACCATGAGTTGATTCCCAAAAGATGATTTATTTAAAAAGAAGAATTTTCTTACCTTGCTTTTAGTTTTCAATTATGTGAAAAAATTCCATGTCAGCATTAGAGGCCCATGCAACAGAACTTTTTAAAAAGCACATTGTTTGCATTGGCTAGAGCAGATGGATTATGCTTTTTGAGTTGAAATCATGAATTTTTCAGTAAATAAGTACATTTTTTGTTACATGATGTAATATTTCACCTTGTAAAACAAAATGTT